CCCTACAAATTTTAGAATTCTTTGTTCTAGTTCTGTGAAAAACACCATTGGTATTTTGATAGGGATTACATTGAATCTGTAGATTGCTTTGCATAGTATGGTCATTTTAACAGTATTAATTCTTCCAATCCAAGAACATGGGATATCTTTCCATCAGTTTGTGTTGTCTTCAGTTTCTTTCATCAGTGTCTTATGGTTTTCCAAATACAGGTCTTTTACCTCCTTAGTTAGATTTATTTCTAGGTATTTTATTCTTTTGATGCAGTTGTCAGTGGGATTGTTTTCTTAATTTCTCTTTATGATAGTTTGTTGTTAGTTATAGAAATGCAACAGGTTTCTGTGTATTAATTTTGTACCCTGCAACTTTACTGAATTCATTGATGAGCTCTAGTAGTTTTTTGGTATTGTCTTTAGGATTTTCTATGTATAGTATCATGGCATCTGCAAACAGTGACAGTTTTATTTCTTCCTTTCCAATTTGGATGTCTTTTATTTCTTTCTCTTATCTGATTGCTGTGGCTAGGACTTCCAATACTATATTGAATAAAAGTGGCGAGAGTGGGCATCCTTGTCTTGTTCTTGATCTAGATCTTTTCACCACTGAGTATAATGTTAGCTGTGGTCTTATCGTATGTGACCTTTATTATGTTGAGGTATGTTCCCTCTATACCCACTTTCTAGAGAGTTGTTTTTTCTTTTTATCATAAATGGATGTTGAATTTTGTGAACTGCTTTTTCTACATCTATTGAGATGATCATATGGTTTTTATTCTTCAATTTGTTAATGTTTTGTATCACTTTGATTGATTTGTGGATATTGAATCATCTTTGCATCCTTGGGATAAATCCTACTTCATCATGGTGTGTGATCCATTTAATGTTTTGCTGAATTCGGTTTGCTAATATTTTGCTGAGGATTTGTTACCTGTGTTCATCAGTGATATTGGCCTTTAATTTTTCTGTGTGCAATATCTTTGTCTGGTTTTGGTATCAGGGTGATGCTGGCCTCATAGTATGAGTTTGGAAGCATTCCTTCCTCTGTAATTTTTTGGAATAGTTTGAGAAGGATAGGTATTAACTCTTCTCTAGATGTTTGGTATTGCTTTCCTAATCAGAGAAAGAAAAGCAAGTGTTATCCTCTCTAAAAAGGTGTCAAGGTGAATTCTGAGGGCTATGGCCCAGTTGTTTGGGTGGCTGAGGGGCACAAGGGCCACACCTGGAAACAAGACCTGTCAACTGGTGTGGGACATCAAGGTGATGCCAAGGGCCTGGCTGAGGTGACGGCAGAGTGGCAGGCCTTCACCTGAGGCAGGGAGGTCAGGTGAGGAGGGCATGGTGGGGAGACATCTTAAAGACTGTTCACTTCGAAGTCTGAGACTCTGGGCAGATGTCAAGGCTGGATGTCACATGTGAGGGCGTCCAGTCCAGGGGTGTTTGTTTAAACCTCAAAGTGCAACACATGAATAAATTCCTCTTTCCTCTCGGATACACCTGATTTCAGCATCACTCACTTCAAGACTTCGATGACTTCCTTACATTTCATGGATAGAACAGCATGTACCTTGTTGGTGCCCAAAATATAGGCCAGTGCACCCTTTCATTAACCTGCACTGCTTGGTTCACGTCCGTCCCGTAGAATGCGTCCATTCTCCACCCTGATCTGTCCTGATTCTAGACCCCTCTTGGTTCTAGATTGGCCCCAGTTCTGAAGCTGCCCTAATCCTGGGTCTCCCTGAATGCTGCTTCTCTCCTTTCGGCCCCGCAGGCGCTGCTGTCCATCAGTATTCTAGAATCCTCCACATCGAACTCTTGACTGTCTTCTCCGCTCTGAAGCCCAGACCTGGCTGGGGCAGGAAGCCAGTTTTCAGTGGTTCTGGATGTGCAGGCACAGCTGACTGGTTAGGGCAAGAGGTGGATCCATTAAAGGCATCCGGTGGCACTCTCCCTCCTGTTCACAGTCAGTCCTCCTCGATACAGAACCCAGCCCCTTTCTTCTTTGAAACTTCTCTGATTACTTGGACCTTTGCTCATTTCCCCGTCTTTGACCCTGTGGGTCCGTCATCAGCACTCAGCTTAGCACACACCTTGGCTGTGGTTGCATCTGACCCCAGCTCCTCCACCAGGGTGAGCCCCGTGGCAGGCCTCATATCAGCCTCTGGTGTCTCCATGTTGCCAGTAGATAGTGCTCCACTCTTTAAATTAAACTGATCATCCTAAAAAAAAAAAAAAAAAAGCATTTTTTAAAAACGCAGAAACTGGGCTTGCCCGGTGGCGCAGTGGTTGAGAATCCCCCTGCCAGTGCAGGGGACACAGGTTTGATCCCTGGACCGGGAAGATCCCACATGCCGCCGAGCAACTAAGCCCATGCACCACAACTACTGAGCCTGTGCTCTAGAGCCCACAAGCCACAAATACTGAGCCCATGTGCCACAACCACTGAAGCCCGCACGCCTAGAGCCCGTGCTCCACAACAAGAGAAGCCACCGCAGTGAGAAGCCCATGCACGGCAACAAAGAGTAGCCCCCGATCCCTGCGAC